CCTGCCATGTCCTTCCTTCCCAGGAGGAGATCCAGGAGGTGAAAAATGAAGGGAATCTGGAGGCACTCTTTAACTACCTGGATAAAATCGTGGAGGAGGCAAAGGACCAGGAAGAGCCAGCATGGTATGGAGCCCAGAGAGAGGGTCAGGGATCCATCTCCAGGCACTCAGTGCCACCAGGACTGGGGGGAAACCCAAATCTGACCAATCCAAAGGGAGAGGGAATGTTTTGGGCACAACTGTGGGACAGCAGAGCTCCCTTGGGTGCTCACAGGGGTCCCAGCAGGTCTGGTTAAGCCACCCTGGAGCCAAGTTGGGCCTTTTAACCAGCAACACCATGATCTTGTGTTGGTGCTGGGGAAGGGAATCCCATCCTGACTGTTCCAGGGCTCTCTCCTGGATGGGTTTTGGGAGGTGAATCCCATCCTGCCTGCTCCAGGGCTCTCTCCTGGATGGATTTTGGGAGGTGAATCCCATCCTGCCTGCTCCAGGGCTCTCTCCTGGATGGATTTTGGGAGGTGAATCCCATCCTGCCTGCTCCAGGGCTCTCTCCTGGATGGATTTTGGGAGGTGAATCCCATCCTGCCTGCTCCAGGGCTCTCTCCTGGATGGATTTTGGGAGGTGAATCCCATCCTGCCTGCTCCAGGGCTCTCTCCTGGATGGATTTTGGGAGGTGAATCCCATCCTGCCTGCTCCAGGGCTCTCTCCTGGATGGATTTTGGGAGGTGAATCCCATCCTGCCTGCTCCAGGGCTCTCCTGGATGGGTTTAGGGTTAGGATTAGGGTTAGGGTTAGGGTTAGGTTAGGGTTAGGGTTGGGGTTGGATGGATTTTGGGAGATGAATCCCATTCTGCCTGCTCCAGACCTTTCCTGGCCATGTTTGGGAATGACTCCCTGTTCTCTCCCATGGACCTCAGGGTGAGATCTTCCCTCAGCACCCACAGAGGCAAACTGGGGGCAGCAGAGCTGACCCAGAGGAGCAGCTCAGCAGCCAGTGGGGATGTGTGGGATGCTTTGCTGGGCAGCATTGCTGCTCTGCAGCTGTTCCAGCTGTGTCCCTCAGGCGTCCGAGCGGGATCCCGATGGAAGATATCCGCAGTGCCATGGTGCCATACCTGCTCAAGCATCGCTCCTACCTGCACAGAGTGCTCAGGGACAAGGAGGAGGAGAACAGGAAATTGGCTCAGGCTGTGCTGGCAGGGAGGGACAAGATCCTGGAGCTGCAGGAGCTGATCCAGGCCCGGCAATGTGCCTGGCAGGTAAATGTGGATCAAGCCAAACCTTCTCACCTTTTCACCTCCATGGGGCCTGGCTAGAGGGTGATCCTTCAACCTTCCTCTTCTCCAAGCAGTTTCCTGTCCAGTCCTGCTCCAGAGGAGCTCTGAGTGCTTTTCCCTGTGCACTGGGTGGGGTGTGGGATGTTCCAGAGGGAGAGGAGAGGGCTGTGATC